CTAGAACAGTTTCGGGGAAGAAAAAACAACTAAACACATGTTTCTGATAGAGTTGCAGTATCAGTTGCATTAAATTAAATTTTGCCATTCAGGCTGGAGCCATGCCCTAGCTATATTTTGTGAATGCTGCTGCTGCTGCTGCTGTGTATACTGTTAGAGAGTTGTATAAAGCAGACACTACATGAGTGTTGTCACAATACCCTGTGCTCTGGAATACATTCTGCATGTGGGCTTGTGTTGACATGCATGAAGGACAGTCAAAGAGAACTGGAGAACAGCCATCACACAGATTTGATAACCAGATATCCGTCAGCTCTGTGTGATGATGACAATGAAATAAGAGAATAAGTAGAATTTTTTTTTTACAATGATGTCACTATGTAGGGAAACAAAGTATAATGTTTATGGACAATATAAATTCTGCATCCAATACTCTTTGCTATTGTTATGCCCATGTCACATGTAAACATACCATGCAGGCTATGAAAACATTTATAACATATGTACTTTGTCCAGCCCTTACAGTTTTGATCTGATAATGGGATTGCCTTGGACTTCGTAAAAAACTAATTTTTTTTTTGTATTCAGTCCAATTAAAAACAATACTTATTGATGTTATATTCAACTAATCCTATTGATCCTTTACATGAAAACATGTAGTTAATGTGATAATTGGTTCTTTACCCTTCTATCTGAAGAAGAACCAATTATCATATTTTTACTGGCAAATGAGGTCCCCATAATGTAGTTAATGTATTCAAAGAAATCCTATAATACCCCACAGGGATTTTGAATTCCTCCAGGATCTGATAGAGCAGTGGTAAAACGCAATAGGACTCTTTTGTAAAGATCAAAATGCAACAATAAGGGCCCGTGTATGAATTGGCCTAGTCCCGTGACAACGCCCCAAACGAAACACCTCGGCTGCAGCAATAACTCCGCAATGTGCGCTTTTTTAATCACCGCCTCTTCTCGCCGTCTATTTACATCGGCTTGGCAAGGCCCAATGCATTATCCCAATGCCATCATCCCATCTTTGCAATTAAATTGGCAAATTGCATAAAAATCTAAATTGCAGTGGACTTTTCCATTAGGAAGCACACCCCCCCCCCCCTCTTACGGAGAGACAGAAAGAGATGGGGGGGGGGAGTAACTCCCATCCCACCCTTTTTACTTCAAGTCCTCAATTCAGATAAAAAATAATGTACGTTCAATCAGGTCCCGTAATCTGAATAGGGCCCAACAGCACAAAGAACCTCGCTATTTTTCGCTGTTAAATGATAGACTGAACCCTCTTCTCTGTTCCCTTCCTATGTGTGCCCCCCCCTCCTCCCTGCCTAATCCCGCTTTTATTTTGTTTGCTCCTTTGTTTAGTGGCAGCTGTCGGCTCTGTTTTTTATTATGATTATTTTCTTTCTTTCCTTTTTTTCCGTGGGGGCCAGCTGGGGTGGGCAGATGGGCCCAGAGAGAGAAAGGACCAGATGGTGCTTAGCTATGCATGAATAGTTCTGCCTCAACAAAGTTCCCACAGGCCAAGTTTCTGTGTGTTAGCGCACAGCCGTGCATGCGCACACACGCACACTCGCCAATTACATATACAGTAGATGCGGTGCGCATAAATCTATAAATGTATCGTATGATATCAGACGGTCACCCCCCCCCAAACCCCCCAGTTGCATTAATTTCGCTTATTCTCTCTGCGATTTGGGATGTGTGTAGTGTTCTTGTGTCGCTGTTGAAACTCGTTACGCAGTGCGACAGTAAGCGGTGAACTTCTTAGTGCTTTCTGCACCTCCGATTAGCGCGGTTTGCTATGTACGGTGCGAAAGAGGTTCAACGTTTCAACGTACATACGTTGAAATTGGGGGGCTACTTTAGCTTCAAGAAATGCAGGAGGACTAATACTGTAAAGGTATGGGGCGGAGAACAGATTTTTAAAAATCACAGTTGTTTACTTTGCAGTTCAATATGTTTACCAATAATGTGTTTTGTAATTACCCTCTTGTTTAGCGATGTCAGCATTAAATCGTAGGTCAAAAAATGCTTTGGTGGATACATTTACAAATAACCAGCTTCCTTCTAAGTATACTTCTGTTCTGCTTAAGGCACTGCTAACCACAACAGTTGCATTAGTATGACGGGCTGAGTGAGTATTATTTGTGGTACGCATTGTGTACACTTGATATAACCACCCGAACTTGCCCGTCAGCAGGACTTTCATTGAAAACGTTTCACGACACTTTGATGCATTCACTATTATTATTGGATTACAAATTAGATATATTTTACCCGACATTGTTTAACGATTGTAAAAAAAAGGCATTTAGTTCATACAGCTTCATTTATATTATTCTTTTGTTTAGTTGTGCTTGTGAAATCGCTCTCCGATAAATATTCACGGCTGCATGTGCACCTATTGACAAAAGCGTGGAAGGAGCTAATGGAGAAATCAATTTTGCTCAATTACGCAAACACACTCTGCCTCAGAAGCCATGTTGCTATATTGAGTACCGGAACTTCTTTAGTAATTAAAAACTTGTACTTGTTAATAGCATTAGTCCTACATTAGATTTTCCCGGCAATATTTGTTTTTTTATTAAAATTGAATAACAAAAAAAATCATTGCTCTCTTTAATATCTTTCTACGCACTCGTGTAACTATTGTTCAAAATTGAGCTTGGAATTGAACACTTTACAAGTAACCAAAGGATATACAAAACAAATAGTCGATGGGCAGGTTGCATGAGGTGGGTTACAGCGTGGGTCCTCTCACCTCGTTTTAGATAACTGGCCAGCGTGGAAGAGTAGGCCAAATACTCCTGGAGGGGCTCTCTAGGGCTCCTGCCGCCAGTGGCGTAAGCAAGCAGTCACATAATAATAGTTCAATTTGTAACGCGCGCAAATTTGCAGACGTAGTGGCCGCAACTCAGAGGCGCGGAGCCAAGCTCAGAGTCGCTCGAAAGCATGATTGTAGAGGTGAGTTTTAAGTGTCTCTTGAAGGAGGCGATTGAGGTGATGCTGCGAATGTGCAGAGGGACCTCGTTCCAGACTGTTGGGGCTGCCACCGAGAAGCGGCGCATAGACGTGACCATCCTGGATCTTGGTAACAAAAGGAGGTCGTGAGTCACGCTGCGCAGGCATCTGCCGTGTGCTGAGCTGCAAATTGTCAATAATGAAGAAAGGTATGGTGGGCAGGCGGATATGAAGGCATTGTGGCAGAGGCAGGCGGTCTTGTATGTGACCCTACTGGCGATGGGTAGCCAGTTGATTGGTTTTACCTCTTAATCTCTCGTGTCAGGTCAGAGGTTTTACCTCTAAATCTCTCGTGTCAGGTCAGAGGTTTTACCTCTCAATCTCACGTGACGGGGATGAGTGTGGCTCCTCCTTGACTGCTACACCCAACAATAAAAGCAGTGCGAGCATGCGAGCCAAGAGATGTAACCGAACCCGCGATGATGACCAAGGGGAAGGGAAAAGTGGCCCAGGTCTCTGTGTGCAGGCACAAGGGCATGGCTGAGCAGCTCGAGCAGGTAAAAGTAGCCCAGCTTCCAATCATGAGATCATGACTTAATCTCATCAACACAGGATCAACTCAGAATTACCGTCATCTAGTCAAGGTCATAACTATAAGCACTGAATTGGGAGGCTGGGCTTGTGATCATCCTGTGGATATATACAGGTCTCTGTTATAGGAATGAGTAATTAATTTTCAGCATGTGCTGAGGATTGCCAGTGGAGCGGGGGAGGGCGATAAGTGCCACTCAATGCTCACGTGTACATGAGAACACATTGGGGACTTGTTATGACTTCATCATGGGACCTCCTTTGCCAGTACCAAAATATGAGAATAGGTTTTCCCATTTTTTTTCTCGCAACAAAACAGGTGTTGAGATGCTAAAACACCAAACTGAAACCTTTTACAAGGAATCATGGCCTTTTGGCGTCCTCTGGTCTAACACCGTTTTGAGACGAGGCTCAAAAGAAAGCGGTCTCTGGTGTGGACCAATCAATTTCAAGGATAATGCATATATTATCAGAGTACGTTTTTTTTTTGCATTCTGACCACAATTATTGTGGTTAATGCAGACATGATTCCTTGTAAAAGGTTTCAGTTTGGTGTCTTAAGATCTTAACACCTGTTTTGTTGCCAGAAAAAAGGGGAAAACCCCATTCTCATATTTTGTTTCGACTTATTGAGTCTTAGGAAGCCAGGTGCTCAGGACGACGTTGAGGAGTCTGAGCTATGGGAAGACATTTTGCGGTGACCACAACATTGCTGATGGTGAATTGATGTCTGTAGAGGTCTTTCTTTGAGTTTTTGGAGGAATCCAAATCCAGAAATATGAGTTTGGGAAGGATTCTGTGAGTAGGTATTTTAATAGAGTCTTTAAAAAGTCATAAAATACACCTGCAGCCAAAGCACATTCACGATTGTATAAACATCATACAGCTGCATTCAATATCACAGGGCTTTGATCCTGGTGAGGTTACACCTGTAAGTATTGCACGTTAAACCGGTGAAAAATGTACCTGAGCCCCAACATTCCCGGGGACAATGTCTGCACGCACACCTGCACCAAGTTACTCCATGTTAAATTCAATTATCCATTCATATCAAAATCTTTCACTCTATTGTTGCTGTTCAGCTGTGTGCAGTTTCTCTTCAGGGCCCTGCGCCCTTGGTTGTGTGTGTATGTGTGTGCGTGGGTTACACTATGACTCACGATTTGGCCAACACACAGTACTTAACTCGCGTAAAAAGGGCTTCTTGGGATTGTTAATGCCTAAAAGCGGATGGGATGGCTGGTTTAACATACCCTTTGAAGGGCAGCGCACTTCTGACAATGCCATGCCCAGGGCACGAAGCCAGGGGGGGCGGGGGTGGCCTAGTGCGCGGCGCGTTAACGTGTCAAGCGTCGGTGCCAACGCGGTCTCCCGCGGCATCTACTCGCGCCCGGTGCTTTACGCTCGCTGTCCCCCCCCCCCACCCACCCTCGCAGGTGTACTCCCCGCAGCAGGGCGACTCGCGACCCATGATGGGCTCCCCTCCGCCGCCTCAGCCCAGCCTGCCTTCCCCGCAGGGACAGCCGCCCCCGCACCGGTCGTGCGTCCGCGCCGGCTGCCCCAACCCGCCGGCTCCCAGCGCCGACTGGGACAGCAGCTACTGCAGCAGCGAGTGCGTGGTCCACCACTGCAGGTGTGCGTGCTGCCACCTGTTTGTCACTGTGCATGCTTGTGACTCGGCCTAGTGGCGGGGGGTAGTGGTTGGCGCTACGAACCCTCGGTGGGCCGAATTCGATTCCCGCTCGTGGCCAACATCGGTGACGAATATCTGAACCGGGTCATGGGCCTCCACTAGGTCCACTCGGCCTCATATGAGTACCTGATGCGGTGTGTAAACATCAGCACTGGGAAGACAAAGGCGGCTGGAAATGCTGTTGGCCACCCAATGCCTTCATGTGCCATGCCGGCCTTTATAGGTGCTCGCTAACAGCACCTTTGTGACTTGGCCTAGTGGCTGGCAATATTGTCAGTGAGACGCATTTTGCATTGGGCCTGACAACGCTTTTGTCAGTGGATAATATCAACTGAGGCCTATAGCCTTTCGTTAACTGAATTTTAGCATCTCCATGCTCAAGCAAGGATTGCGTGGTGCCCATTTTCTGGTGGCCTTGTACCAGTGGTAAACATTCCACATTCCTATGCCAAGATTAAATATTTATATTTGACTTATGAAGACTCTTTGAGACCGAGATAATTGGGCCCAATGTGCACTCGGAAGACAATCCCAGTATTTTTAATTATCCGCAGTTGAATCCTGAAAATGTTGACAGAACTGCCCCTTTATGTTGCTACGATTTATTTAGCCTCTCCTGAAAAAGAGATAAGTATGAATTCTCTCCCTCGGCCAAGTACAAAAAAAAATTGGATTTCGTTTTTAAGGTCACGTTCTCTGTTGTCGGTGTTACCCAAGGCTCAGCTTACTTCCAACGCTGTTGTAATGTTATCGTTGGTGTATACTATAAATCAATGGTTATTAGCTGGAACAGAGTGACGTTATGAGATTGGCTCAGCAAAGAGGTACTATATTTCACTCGAGCTACAACACATGCCTCTTTGGTGCATTTATCACGGCTGCAGTTATTACTCTTTTATATCCCAGGTGTTTTTCCTTAGCTACAGCTAAACGCAACTGAAAATGCAAGTTAGGGATTATGTGGGGAACACAGCTGTCCCAAGTCTGGATCATACCCCTTATGCAAGCTTTTGAGATGTTCAATGATGCAGGTGCGCTAATCCAAAAGAAGTTGAATGGACCAGTATGTAAATTCACAGCGCATTAACTACGCATGAGCTTGAAAGCAGTGTGTCCTACATTACATTTAGATGGAATTGAGTAATCAACCCTTGCAAACAAAAGCCTTTGCAAGCTCACACATTTTCCTCCATTTCTTATAGGGCCCCATTGAATTAATTTCCATAATCCCATAGATTTATTTTCAGTATGGAAATATTACTGGGGTGAGTTTTACATTTAGACTGTGTTGCATAATGTAGCCCAAACAGGAACTGATCTTTTAAGCATTTCAGAAAGGAGGAAGATACATTTTGTAGCTTGTTTCATGAGAGGTTTCAGAATGAGGTGTATACTCATTTGCCCACCTCCTTGATTTGTTTTAAGGAAAGTTTTGCGTGACTAGGCATTCTTGCATTTCCATTTGGTGGCATTCCTCTGAGATCATGGTGGGGTGTTTTTTTTGTTGTTAAGTGAAACAAACAGCATTTGGTGCTTTCGAGCAGCAGATTGTTTCTAAGTGTGGGTCGATAGACCGTTTAGATGCGCAAAGTCTGGTCACGTCTTACCCTGAGCGTACGGCAGGAGGGGTAGACATAGCGGAGAGCAGCTGTGCCATGTGTTTACGAGCGCACGTGAACGTGTCCTCGTGTGCGCATGTGTGAGATGTACACGTTTCTTATTTGTGGGTGTTGCCGACGTTGATCTGTGGCCCATTCTTTAGCCGAAGAGAGCGCTGTGTTTTATTGTGCATTCCACACCCTTACAAAGCGACATATGCTTGCCACAATCAACCGTCAGATTCCTACAAGGGTCTAAAGCTCTATTGATTTGGAACAACAACAAAAAATACAAGTGGCATTTGAAACTGTTCAGACTAATTGTCCCTTTGTTTCTGTCCCTGCAGAGATGTGTTTATGGCTTGGGTGGCGGGAAGAAACCAGAGCAATGCTGCTCCTGTCAAGTGAAGCCACTGGACGGGACACTGACTGAAGCGTTGTGTGCTTTGCAGTGATTGCTGGAACTTGAAAAACGATGATTCAAAAAGGAAAGTACGCAGATCAGAGTGGGAAGGGTGACTCTCGCGCCGACACAGGGACGCTGTCTGGATTTTCTTCTCTCCCGAAGGCGAAACACATAACTGTACTGCGTCACGTCACGCAAGTTCTCTTTTAAACCCTGTAGAAATTATTATCCCTTATCCTCTCTACGCTTTAACTGAACACCTGTGTTTTGATATATCACTACATGTAAATGTTCTACGGTTACCACTTGCTGCGAGCAAAGCTAATCGTTAGTGTAAAAGCCACACGTGTAAAGGATGGTGCTTTTTTTTTCTTCTGTTTGTGACGCTATCAGTTATCGGATGTACAGCCCATATATGTGAAAAACACAGACAAACAGACCACAAACCTTGCGCCGACAGTTGATAACTACAGCACAGTTTACCAAAACGAGCAGCAGCAACCTCTCGGAGCCGGGGCTGACTGTGCTAATCCACGCCGCATTGTCGGGCGCATCGAGAAAAAAAAAAACATTTCACTGTTGTACATTCACAGAGAACGACTGAACAGACGATGGCACCGGACGAATGCATTTGTGCGACGCTTGACCACTTGTCATGCTTATCCCCTGCCCAAGTCGCAGGGTGCACTGGGTGCACTGGTGCAACCAGTCGGAAGGGAGGGGGCGGCACCCTGCTTTCTTCATTTTTTGATCCCACGGTGACCCTGGTCGGCACAGACCCGAATGCGGATATTGTTGCATTTATCAGACACTTTACCAGGCTATGATGTGTGGAAGAAGACACACGGGGGATTTAATTCTGTGTGTTAGCCTCATTAACTGAACTGGGGGTGAGGGGGGGGGGGTCTGGCAGGGGCTTCAGTAAATGACTCTCCCACACGTTTCATCGCTATGGTTTTTTTTTCTATAAGGTGCCTGTCTGCCTGTCTGTCTGTCTTTTTTTTATCTGCTATATAAATGTGTGTAATGCACGGATTGCTATTTAAGAAATGAAAAAAAAATGTAAAAACAGAAAAAAATGTACTTTGAAATGGAGAGCTGGGAATCCACTGCCAAGGCAAACATTAAGACATTAATGTGGTTTTCAGTTGGCCGTAGATAAATTGAAAAAATGGCAGTGTACAAATTGTGCGTGCATCATATATATACACATACCTGGCTGCCAAGAGGGTAGAACCTCGCATTCAGTATCTCCTCCTTTGCTGTTGGGGTTTTCGTTTTTCTGTTTTTGCAAATTTTGCAATCTTAGCACTTGTTTGTTGGAGCTGTATGTGGCTGAACAAATGTACTTGTAAGTTGTGGCAAATAAAATAAAAACAAAAAAATTCCAGCCTGGGTTACCTAGGGCTTTACGAGATAATTTGTAAAAAAAAAAATAACGTGGTGATGATGTTTTTTTCTTTTCTAGCGAAGAAAATACACCGGAAAAAAAATGTTTGGGATTTGTAAAGTAAGATGAAAACACAATTAAAACAAACCATGCTTTTTAGCTCTCCGTTTAAACCACACCTTATATTCTGCTACCAAAAAATGAAAAAAAACCAGTGAAAATATTTACATTTTGTAATCTACGGTATATTGCAGAAGTTAATATAGCTTTTTTGTATGTCGTCGTGTGTAGAATAAAAAAGATAAATCCGCCAGATTTTTAAGTGAAATCCATTTGCATTAAATGCCAAAATAGCTTTCTAATTGACTGCTGGGGGTATAGTTTTAACAGAGGGGGTGTTGAAGTTGGCTCCATGTAGCCTTAAAAGCATTCAATGGTATAATATGATGTAATAAATTAAATGTTTCTGTTTCTTATTTAATTTTGTTTTTGTATTTGAAAATGAGGCTTTATTTAAACTGTAATAATGACATTTTAAGGAGGTCATCACCATCTTTTAAAACATTTCTCTTGTTTAGTGTAAATCAGTCTTTCGGATTTGGTGGTATTATTGTTATTATTATTTGTTTGTAATTTTTTGGGCCACAATAAATTAAGTCATCACAAAATGTGACTCCACGTGTGGCTGTGTGATTTGTCGGAGAACATGAATCCACACTGGTACCCTGGTTGCGGATGATTTGTAAGCAACACTGGCCCTTTGAAAGCGACTGAAACAACACAACTTTTTTCCCAGCAGCTGCTTCAGCATTTATTTAGCAGTAAACACATAGTGTAAGGGAATTAAAATGAAGGTAAAACACAGTACGGGTGAAATTGTTGGCAGATAACCTGCCCATCAGAACTGAAGGTCCTTAATAGTGGATTAAGTGTGGAAACGGAAAGAGATTTAGCCTTGCCTAAGGAGGCCTGTCATTCTGACAGCTATTGCCTCTGACACCCTGGGTTCTAAAGCTGTCATCACAGAAAAAAACCGATCAATTTCTTCAAATGTATAAGGGCCAGTAAAACCCCTTTCTGAGTTAGATTTTTTTTAAGTATGCAAAGACTTCAACTAGCTGCAGTACTTCAAGCTGTAAATGCAATAACTCCTAATTATACCTGTGAAAATATTATATGACCTGCAAGAAACCTGTCCTATGTCAGGAACACTCAAATGTAAACTTAGTACAATAGTTAATTAAGAAATAGAGGATCTGCTACCTGCCTTAACTTTATGGCAGCGTGGCTTAAGTGTTTGAAGTTGGTTACCTCCGTGTATTCTGATACGTAATAATTTACATTTATAAGGTGCAATTCATCAAAGGAGCTCAGTGCGCCTAGTTCATTATAGAACAACCAATCTGTCTCGCAGTGCGTGTTCATTCTGGTTGTCATGGTACCGCATTTGTACACGATGAGTCAGTTCTGCAGGAGTTTGCTTGCAGACTGAAAGTCACTTTATGCGAGTAAAGGTGCAGCAATGAACGTTCTTGCTCACTCCACTGCCAACAGAGGTCCTATGAGGAGACGAAGCTTCAAAGATGCCCCCCCCTAAGCAGGATATTTTGGCCAGTTTTATTCTGGCCTGGTTTCTTGGAAGAGACTATAGAAACTTGTACGCAATATACAATATAGCATTATTTATGTATTCGGGGCCGTCCATAAATGACGTCACGCGATTTTGGAAGATTTTTACCCCCCCCCCTCCGTCACAAAAGTCAGACCCCCCCCCCTCAAATATGACGTCACAAAGCTCTGCCCCCCCCCCTCCCAAAAAAATAAAACATGCTTCAAATCGCTTTAAACTATTGTCATTGTAGTGCGTATTTAATGTGGCGCTGCACTCTGATTGTTGTAGGAGTAAACATGTATTAAAATGTCTACTTAATTAACGTATTGTCTATATTTATTTAAAGTTGCGCATTTTGATGTGACGTCACATTTCTCACCTCGTCACACATCGTCACAAATGTCTGATCCCCCCCCCCCCCCAGGCGAGTGACGTCATTTATGGACGGCCTCTTACATTAGGTTATCAGCAAATAATGCAGGAATCAAAATATATCTAAATAACTTGTAAGTTAGTGTTTTTCCCGCGCACCTCTGATTATCACGGTTGACTACGTAAGGTGCGAAAGAAGTTCAACAACATACACGACTTATGTAATTCATATCCTTTTCACTGTCTTTTTGACCACCCTGCGTACATGAAGCAGAGAACCTGGGACATTTCTGTTCATTAGGGAGGGAGTCGAAAGTAAACCAAGATGAAGATGAAGGGAGTAAACATCGGGAGCTAGTAAATACAGGGAGCTGGCCTTGCTGAGCTCCGCACGTGGTTCTTGGCATTGTTGTTTGTCAGGCTTGAATGAATGCTCCCAAGTGCACATGGGAATTCTTTCAGTGTGCTTGCGTACATTTTGACATAAGCCTTCCTAATCCTCTCTCTACTTTTGTCCGTTATTATGCATTGGGAAAAAAAATTATGCATTGGTGGTATTTTATGATCTTGGCCTCGTAAATAAAACAATCCACTGCTGAATGAAGACTTTCCACATGTGATATCGGTCATGATTTTTTTTTACCACACCTTAACATAGTGGGATGCATGTATCTTTGCATTATGTCTTTGCTGACCTATAAAATCATCTCGTTATGGAAAAAAACATCTCATAGATCAAAAGCGGAGAAATGGCATGGCGTATTTTCATGTCTTGTCAATACTCTACTGCTTTGGGTTAAAATGTTCTCTGGAGCATTGCCTGGTCATGCAAAGAAGAAGGTAAGTTCTAAATGCCTTATTTATTAGTAATCTGAATCAATTTCAATATGCAGTGTGTGTTTGTGTCTGGGGTTTTTAATGGGGGGAGCGATCGTGTAGTGGCTACCTGAAATTGATTCCGTTCACAGCTCAAATCAGTGATGTTTATCTGGACTAGTTTCGGGCCTCCCCGAGGTCGAATCAGCCTTAATTGAGTACCTGATAGAGTGAGTAAACACTCGGTACTAGGTAAACCGGTGGCCATCCGTGGTGCTGACCACATCATGCACCATGGATCGCTCTGGTAAAATAGCCGAGAAACTGGCTAATCGGCATCAAATCAAACTCTCATGTGCCGTGGGGACCTTTAATAGGTGCTTGCAAACAGCACTTACCTCAAAAGCATGTGTAGGCTTTAGCAGGGTGTCTGTGTTCACATTGTTGGAACGAAAAGGAAATGTATCATGGTATCTAATACACGTAGGTTGTTCTAGTGACTGCAAGGATTCATATTTTTAGGTTTTTTCGGTAAAGTCACGTAGGTAAAAAATTAAAATTAATAAAAGTAAAATAAAAAATAAAATAAAAATCACGACGTTTCGGAGGCAACACAAGCTTCCGTCTTCAGGTGGAACCGTCACAGCACGACTGCTGCATCTTACCGAAAAAACCTAAGAATATGATAACTTTCTTTTTCATCTGCCAATTCTACAATGCACCGATAACCATGTAGTTCCTGAATTGCAATTGGCCTTAAAAGTCAACTTTAAATCATATGTGAATGAAGTCAACAGTGCTTGGATGGCAGAGAGACCAATCTCTGCCATAGGAACGGGGAATGTACACCTATCTCAGAGCTGCGGAGATATGCATCACCCATTGCTTGTTTGAACGTCAGCGATTTAAACATATACTGGAATTAAGCTACGACAATTGGCCTTAGTTATAACTAAACTTGTCGGTAACTAGTATTCTTCGTCTGGTTATATAAGCCACGGCAAGTTACAAAATTTGTTCTCAAAGCAAGTGAGTGGGTTATTCGCGATTATGCTGTGTGGCGCGTGTGCCACTCGGGCGCTGAAGCTTTCAGACATATTGCAAAATTCGGTCAAAGGCCGAATCCAGCGACAGGCCCGTGACCTCTGTTATTGTCGACTTTGACCTCTGTGATAGGTGCCGTTACTTTGATGTTACCTCCGCCGTGCTGTCCGCACATTTTGTTGCAGGCCCACAGAGATGCAATGATCCCAGCAAAAGTGTTTTGATCATGAATCAAATACCTGATTTACGCAGCCAACTAACGCTTATTGGCACTTTGGCCATTACGTAAGCGGCTCTATTGGCTTATTGGTTTGACCTGAGGCTCCTCTAAAGTCGTATTCCCTGTGGCTGATCAACCTCACACTCTCTTGATTGGCAGCAAGGAACGACTTCATTAGGACAAAGAGCTCAAGTTGGCAAATACACTCTCCCTTGATGTTAACTGACATCTTAAATAAATTATGTTAATAGATTTCCCCCCCCAAATAAGTAGGTGCAGATCACGTTAGGGCAGGAAGAGATTAAACGGCCTTGTTTTGTTAAGGCATGGCAAGCCTTGTAACATTCAAAAACAAATCTATACTTTTACAATTTAAAAAGTAAACTTCACAAACTTGTTATGTTAAGGTTAAAGCTTTTCGTTTGGGGAGAAAACAAATTATGTATGTGGAATATAAATAATACGGTTCGAGGATACGAATGTACAGTCCTGTGTTCACAAAAGAAAAACTTTCTTTAATAAAAACCCGTGATGTATTTTTTTTACAGGTCACACCTGTTTGATTGACTTTTCAAACATAACCTTGTGTTTACAAAACACAACGCTGCCTGTGCAAGATGACACATTTTTTTTTCCAAATGTCAGATTTTTCCTTCACCCACCCCCACAACCTCATCGTTTGTTGTTGATGGGTGAGGTGTGCTTCACTTAGCAAGCTGTCTTTATGATCAAAAGCAGACCATTTTAAAGCATGTGTCTCCTGGGTATGACAAACAGCTGTAGAAAGTAGGCCTTCAATTAGCCCCCAGGCAAACTTTAATTGTCATCTAATTATTGTCAAGGTTGCTTGCCAACAAACAGAAGGCGGTGAATCTGTTAGCATCAATAAAAGTAAAAATAAAAAAAACTAATCAAACCATTAAAATGTCACACCCCCCCCCCCTTCTCTCTGCTCACATCAGTTGTGTAATGATGTGGTATTGCTAAACTACAAACAAAAAGGAACGTTGGGACATGCCATTCACTATTGAGGAAACATGTTAACTTTAGGGCATCTGCTCACTTGCTTAATGGCTTTGGTGGCTACTTTGGTTTTGTTATCATTTGTGTTGTTTCTCGTCATGCCATCTGCGCACTAATACATCTGAATGCATGCTACTGCTGCCATATTCCCTTTCCCCCTAGTCATGGTGTTACAGTAGCGCATATTCATTGTTCGCACGAGGGAGTACAAATCGCAAAGCAGACAAGCCAAGAATGGTGTGTTGCCCAGAGCAGATGTTCCCAAGCTCTCGATGAGACCTCCGATGCTTGCTTTACAGCGGCCAAACTCTTGCACAACCGTCCAAAGACGCATTCCATGTTAAGTTAAACACAAGCCTCGCAAACTTGGCATAGTTCAATTAATGCATTACAAAAATAGCAAGTTGCTCACATTCCTGTGCGCTTTTTATTTTTAGGTTCCAAGGCAACTGTTTTCTAAAAATTTACATCAACCTTTGTTAAAATCAAACATGAAACGGTGCTTGTAAAAGGAGACAGTGGCGGGCCTAGTTTAAAATTCTGGATCGTATTTCACAAGTTCACTCCGAGGATTTTAAATTATTTA